CGCCCTGGGATTTTTAATGACCACAGAGAGTCAGGACCTCGGTTTTACGTCTCATCCGAAGGACGGAGCTTTGTGCAGATTGTAGCACTTCCCCTGTTAAATACCCATTATAGCGATCAATTTAAAAGATTGAAGGAAGACTTGCAGGTCAACAGAACCAGCATGTTGAGTGTCTAATCACTACTGTCCATAAAGGTTTTGACAAGTGATCTATGGTTTCCTACCCACCTGGAAACCTAACAAAGACCTGATTCCAATATCACCGACTCTGAATGCAACAGTGTGGTTTTAGGGAAAACAGATTTTACTTTTTCATCCAAACGTTCAGATGCTCTGTGAAGTTTATTTTCTGAAACGCGGTGCAGAGACCCCGCGCAGCGTGGGAGTCGGGGGCCAGCTGGGGCCCCCAGCCCGTTCCCGACTCCAGTACCTGCCGAAGCTGTGGCTCAGCTCCTCGGGCACCTCAAAGCCAACGCTGCCCCTGGCCAGCCTCGCTTCGGCCTGCACGCTCTCCGGGGGGGCGCAGGGCAGGCTGCGAGTGAAGACGTGGGTCAGGGCCCCCTCCGCGTGGAAAGTTTTGTCCTGGCTCCTGAAAAGAGAAGAGGAAACGTGAATGAAGGACAGCTCGGGTTCTCAGCACGGCGTTGCCTTCCTGTGTTAAAATGAGCTGGTTGTACAGAGAGGCTAGCAGACGACGGAGCAAAGACAGCAGCAGGAGCCTGAGTGGATCTGCAGACCTCCGCCATCACAAGGCTTGGCCATGGGGATTCACCAGCGGAGGGCCCCCGGGAGATCGGAGCAGGACGAGGCCCTGGGCGGCACGCTGGCGGAGCAGAGCCCCTCACCTGTAGCCCGTGCTCCTGTAACCGTGGTACTTGGCGCCGTCGAAGGGGCGGATCTCGCTGAGGATGAATCCCGCCTCCGCGGCCATGGCGACGGCCTGCCAGCTGTTGTGCCACTCTCTCATTGGCTGGTCCGCGGGCGTGCCCCCCTGCCCGTTGCACAGAGTCACGTGGACCTCGCCGCTGTCCTTCAGCACCTGGGCACAGCTGGAGAGGACAAGAGTCCCGCTTGAATATACACTGTCATCGGCCAGTCAGACAGAGCTGCTTCAGGGTGCTCAGTCTGACAGCTGTTTGGAGCACCCACCACCCTTTCAACACCTTACTGCGAATTCAGAATGCAGCAGCTAGAATTGTTACCAGGAGCAGAAAGTACGACCATACAACCCCCATACTTAACTCTTTCCATTGGCTTCCCGTCAGGCTGTACATGCCATTGTGTATCTCTATCTTGGCCCACCAGGCAGATACATCTGTTCTGACCAGACTATCCTATTCTCCTCCCCACATGTCCAGATGGCGCCTGGGCTGGGCATCATCTGAGTTGGATGCTGCATCATTGCTATGGATCCAAGAGGGACATCGTGGATATAGCTATCGTTTAAGAGGAATTTACTGGTCTACAGAGATCTGCATGGAGTACTAACACACAGAAGACATGATGGATGTATTAATACCTCCATGTATTAATAATTCGTTTTTCCTTTTTTAATTGTATAATGTTAGCAGAGGGGTTGGGCAGACAGTTGACCTTGGACCCCTAGAGGTTTCTTTTCTCCTTACTAAGGAGTTTTTGGTTCCTCTCCTCCGTTGCCTTCTGGTCTTTTCTGTTCTGTATTCACAACATGTAAGGTCACTTACTTTGTAAAGCGCCTTGGGGCAACCTTGTTGTGAAAGGCGCTATATACAAAATTCACTGAATTGAAAGCTAACGCAAAGAAACGCCAATTAGAAAGGAACTGTAACTGTCAGAAATGCAGAAAACTCCGTGACACGACACTGAAACACAGTTTTCCCTTCTGGAGGTGAAGTGGTAGGAATGTACATCCTGCGGAGCCTGACGGCAAAGGGAACACAACTTACAAACTCCCCGGCCCTGTGGCTGCACCTTTCTGCTCCGCCCCACGGGTTCCGGTAGGGCTCACCTGAGGAAGAACTTGGCCAGCAGGCTGCGGTTCCTCTTCACGCCCGCCTTCCTGCCGCAGTGGGGGAAGTTGAAGATGATGTGGTCGAAGAGCTGCCCCGCCAGCGCCGGGCACTCCCCCAGCCGGGTGCTGTCCACTGCGAAATGCACCTCCGCCCCTGAGTGCCCACAACGAAACAGCTGACACCCCCTGCCAGTCACCCCGCTGCCCTGCTGCCACCTTGTCCCCCGCGGAGCCCCATCTTTCCCGTCCCTGCGCTCACTGAGCCATGCCTCCCACGGTTCCTATCGTGCTGCACCAGTCCTCCCACACGCTGGCAATCGACTGTGCTTCCTGGCACCAACACCAGCTGGTGGGCAAAGCCAGCTCAAGCTGGAGCTGGGCAATGCAATTGCGCACACCTACCGGTCCACGATCAGCCATGCGCACAAACGCCAGAGCGGAACGGAGGGGTTTCAGCCAAGCGCAGGGCGAACTCCATGATCAGGAGTTTGAGCCTAGGTCTCACATTACTGGACAGCTGGGATCAAGATTCCCAGAGGAAAGGAATCCAGGGACTAGGGTGTGAGTAGTCAGCCCAGGCACAGCGACCCCTGCGGATTCTCGGACACTAGCAGGAAAGAGGCACATTTGCCGTACTCGCCTTTCTACCAATCAGCACCAAACGTCCGGTATGGGTGGATAGGTGGCTTGAGGGGGGGCGGGCAGGGCGGGGCAGAGGAGTCTGGCCACACCCCCTCACTCTCCCCTGTGTGCAGCTGAAGGGTTTACAGCTGGGAGCCAGGAAGTGAAAAACACACAACCTGCGATCCCGAATCAGGTGGCCATACAAATTTCTAAATCTATTTTTTAAGTGATCTTTAAAGTGATTTTAAGCAATTTTTAAAACAAAAAAAGGAGTAAAAACATAAATGCAGAATAACAATAAAGAATGCTGTTTCAATGCACCAGGACCTTTATAGCACAAGACTAAATAAATGCAGGATGAAATCTGGTAAAATCAAACAACGATAATTCTGGTATTAATGATAATGCTGCATGTTAATATCGGCCACCAGTGCCAGTAAATGCGACCTGTGTCCCTCTGTGCCAGAGTCCAGTTCATCTAGAGATCAAGAGCATGGGTTCCCAACTCCAGTCCAGAGTCCAGCAGGCTTTCTATGTCTCCCGGAGCTATAAACAGCTCTTCGCCCCGGGAGAAGTGTGAAACTGATCCAATTAGGGTTTTACTTGACCAGTTCATCCCTTCTGCACAGCCTCCAGCAGCTAGAGCTACAAGGAGATACAGACACCCCGCCGGACTGCAGACCCCGGGGTTCGGAGCTGGGAACCCCTGTTCTGGAGCCACGTCAGAGGTGGGCGGAGCAACGTCTAGTCCCACTCGCTGACGTCACTGCGGAGGGCAACGAGGCAGGTGGCCTGTGTGTGTGTGTGCGCGTGCGTGTGGGCCAGTCTGGGGACCTCCTCACCATGCTCTCGGAGGAGCTGGATGTTCTCCTCCGCGCCCTCCTGCTGCAGGACCGCCTCCTCGGCCTGGTAGCAGGTGGCGGTGACCCTGGGGCTGCCCCCGCCGGCCTGGCACAGGGCGGCAGCGAAGGAGAAGTTGCCCTCGCCGAGCAGCAGCACATCCCGGGGGTCCCGCACCGCGGCGCTGCCTGCGGAGACGGACATGCGCTGAGCTCCACACGCGGTCGCCTCGGCGAGAGGCGGGACGACCAGCTCCTCCTCCTCACACATTCTCAGACCGAGGCACAGAGGCTCCAGAGCAGAACTCCTCCTGAGCACAAGCCCGTTCCCAGCGTGCCTTAAGGATCCGATACCACGACGATTCCTTTTTTATTTGGATCTTATATTTAAATCAAATATACAAGGGCAACACCGGACAGGCCTCAGTTCTGTGTAAAACACACACACACACACACACACACTGCACCTTGTCTTTGTGATGTTGGCCGATAGTGAACACGGTTATTTTTCACAGGGGTGGAGTGGGACACATACATGAGCACATATTCAGATATTCAGGGTTACCGTGTTAGTACTTAATCACGCTGTGGCACGTATAAAATAATTATTGGGTTAAGCTTAGCTAAGTCTGTTGAACCGGCTCCGATAATCGATTGATGCCTAACGAGGCTGGGGATAGAAAGAAGGATCAACTCCAAGGAACGGGACAAAAACCCGAGGCAGGAAGAGTCACGGACTATCGTGAGGCTCGACTGTATAACAACAGTTTGAAAGCTTGAGCCGTCTCTGTACGGGAGGGTCAACCCAACAGCTGCGCTGCTGTAAGTCCTGGGTTCAGTCAAGGCTGAATCTGCACCAGGCTAGACCTGCTCCTGTCACGGCGGTACGCGTGCCCTCCCCCCGAGAGCTCGGTATAATAAAACAGCCACACTCACTGGGGTCCATTGAGGGAATGTGACTTTTCAACAGGCCAGTTTCCGACCCTGGAGAAACAGAGCAACATGTTACATCTCTATAATGTACAAACCGAGCCCATCGCTGGTGACACACACTACGATCTGTCACACTTTTAGAGAAGAACCAAGAATATCAGATACTGCACTTCACACCCCCCCGTTAAAAGTTATTCATGCTTAACATTAGTTTATATTACATTTCCCTTATGTATTTAAACTAATAGCTTAAATGTAAGTAATACGCGCGCCATTTGGTAAATCCAGTTGGTAATTTAGAAAATTACACTCTAATCGCTGTGGTTATCAATACTGAAACACGCCGGTGCCAAGGCACTTAACACGTTAATTACCTAAATTAAAATCTCCTCTCTTCCAACGCAGTTGAAAGTGAGGCCAAGTAATGAGACAACTCACGCTGGAAGAATAATATAGGTTTATCTAGATATTGATAGGACTGTAGATTCCGCCGCTCCGCTTCCCGTGAGTTTCCAGCACGTCTGTCGAGCAACTGGGCTCGCTGTATCTCCCGAGGGAATTTCCTAACAGCAGAGAAGACACAGATAAAGCACCTTCACCACTGCAAATGAATGAAACGCCACTCCTGAGAAACTCGATTTTAACATAGTTTCTTTCTTACCGCAGTAGCTCACCATAGCTCACTAAATAAACACTGTTATCAAAGGTACATAAGAGCGTCAGTAAAAAAAAAAATAATTCGCTATGGGAGCTCCGGTTTACAACTCCCTGAAGGAAACCACACGGTGAACTCATACACGACTAGAGTATAAACAGGACAATGTATTTGCTGTTGATAGATATTATATTACAAATTCGTTTTGTTTCCAGACGACCGGGCGGTTATTTAGAAGTTGTGCAACAAAAAGCGCTTAGAAAACACAGTTTACAAAGTGTTCCGCCCACGCGTGTTTCCACACCGGACGACTGTACTGCGACACACCGGGGGCGGGACATAGAAATTGACACTCCCTTCCGCCAATGAGATGCGGGAGAATCGGCGGAAGGCGGGACTTTTAATTGGATTACTCGATGCGCAATTGATCACTCTAACCTGCTGCTCGCTGTCATTGATTTGCCTGCTATCAGTCATGCGCCCGAAGTCTACCAAACGCAGTGCGTCGTGACTGACCGCTGCAGTCCATCTCACGAACAGCAGCTTGCCACCTTTAAAGAGACAGATCGAATTTATTATTGGAATTGATTTATCCAATTGAGTCTGTAATCATTGAAGGGGAAAACAATAATTCCTTACATTTATATAGCGCTTTTCTGGACTCTCCACTCAAAGCTCTTTACAGGTCATGGGGATCCCCTCCACCCCCACCAGTGTGTACCCCCACCTGGATGATGCTCCAGTCCGCTCCCCACACACCAGCTCTCAGTGGGGAGGAGAGCAGAGTGATGAGGCCAGTTCAGAGACGGGGGTTATTAGGAGGCCATGATTGGGAAAGGCCAGGGGGAAATTTGGCCAGGATACTGGGGTAACACCCCTACTCTTTTTGAGAAACTCCCTGGGATTGACCACAGAGAGTCAGGACCTAGTTTTTATTGTTTCATCCAAAGGACAGCGCCTTTTTACAGTATAGTGTCCCCGTCACTATACTGGGGCTTTAGGACCCACACAGACTGCAGGGTGAGCGCCCCCTACTGGCCTCACTAACACCTAACAATGATCCATACTCTTACACTGATTTAATATTAGCCATACCTGTTACGCCTGTCATTCCGGCTGCATTTCGATGGAATTTCAGATGCCTACACCAGTTCAAGCTGTGTTTAATAAGAAGACCTCTCTTCCTCTCTCGTGCTCCCTGCTGCCCTAGTAAAATCCCACCTGTCTCCTTCTCAAGGGCACTGCTGTGCTCTTTCTACCACTCTTCTCCAACACTCCCCCAGATCATCACTGCCGCTACACGCCCCTCTGCTTGTACTGCGGTATAGCACAGCAGGACTGTAGTCAGGACAGACGCCCCTGTTCCCTGCTTTCACAGGAGGGGGTGGGGCCTGGCTCTGCCTCGATCCCTTGCCCTGGCCACAAGGAAGGCCTTGCTTTCACAGGAGAAAACCCAGGCCTGCTGTGCCCTACAGCAGTCTTTAAGACCTCGGACCTGGATCTTGGTAGGATTCAGCCCGTGTCTTGCAGGAACCAAGCAGGTCTTTGAGGCTGGTGCCCAGTTTGCATCACCTGGCCTGCTCATTTCATACTGAACACCGGCCTCCACTCTGCAGGAGCAGGGCACATGGTGTACCTCTGCTGCACAAACAAGAGGAAGAGTTTCTTCCCAGACACGACAAGAGACAGCAAAGCCACACAATTACAGTATATAACACCAATGCAGCACGCAGAAATATATAACACAAAACCCATGGGCACACTTAGCCAAAACAAGAGGACACGATTATTGTGCCTTTGGCAGAGCTCACTACTTAAGGCAAAGGAGCCTGTGAATTCCTGAGCCTCCTCCCCCTGGCCATCCGAGAGCTCCAGAGCCTGACGTGCTTCCTGGTTTGGAGACAAGGGCCGAATGTGCAGAGGTAGCCATGGAGGTCAGCGGAGGTGTCTCTGTGGTCCTGAGTACAGAGGAGAGCTTGTTTTCCCCGTCTCCCTCAGAGCCCCACTTCCTGTTTTCTGCAGGGTGTTTTGCTCTAAGCTGCCTGCGAAGGGGACTGACCTGGTGCCACGTTTCCTGCCGCCCAGCTCCTCCTCTCCCCTCCTCTCCCCTCCTGTCCTCACTCTGCAGACGCGGCTGAAGATGGCAAGAAGGTTCCCTCTCTTGCTGCTGGTGCTGGGCTCCCTGTGCCTTGCGCCAGCCTGGGGAGGCCGGCAGATGCCCAAACTGTCCGACAAGAAGATGTGTGCGGACGAAGAGTGCAGCCGTGAGTACTCCCCCACTCCCCGCCGATCAGAGGGCAACAGACTCGTTTATTGAACCATCACATGCAATTCATGTACCTGATTGTCTATACCAGAACCAAAGTCTCTCTGGTGTCTTTCTGTAGCTTTCTAGTTAACTTGAACATGAGGAGGAAACCTAGAAAATGAATCTGAATGATGTGGGATGTGTGTTAGACACACAGGTTGTGTGTTTGGCTGTGATATTCTATATTAATTGTATAGTATATTAATGTACACATACAGTGCAATGTGTATGCAGCAATGATTGGGATCTGTGTGTGTGCAGGGTGCGGTGGATTAAAATCTATGTGCCTGTGACTGTGCAATGGGGCCCTCAGGTGGAATTAGGAAAGTGGTGTAAGTGCATTAGGAGTGTAGGTTCAAGACAGCTGTACCCCCCAGTCCTTATGGTGTGTCTTTGAGCCTTCTGTCTGTCTGCTCTGTGTCTGTGTTTGTCGATTCCAAATCTGTTTGCCCCCTGTCAGCTCTGAGTCTGTGACTCCCAGTGTCTGTCAACTCTGATTCTGACTCCCAGCACCTATCAACTCCAAGGTTGACCCTTCCGTCTGTGTGCCTGTCTGCAGACCCCATCCTGATCGCCCGAGCTCTGGAAGACTTTTACCCCCAGGACTGTCGCTTCATCCCCATCCGCCAGGGCCAGCTCATCTACGTCTACGCCATGCTGAAGGACCGCGGAAATCTCTTCTGGGCCGGCAGTGTAAGTGCCCCCATCCCACAATGACAAACAGCAGCAGACAGACACTGTGCCTGCGAGTCGTGACAAAGGAGACCCACAAATCCCTGGGTTTGTGTTTTGTATTAAAATTGAAAATAAAAGAAAATAATCTCATCATTCTGGGATGCGTTTTAGTGCCTTTAGTTATAGGGAAAACAATGCTTCGACAGCAGTATGGTTACATGATCAAAAAGTGCAAAAAGGCTCACATCTCAGAGGTACATACTGTAGGTCCAAAAGAACAGCTGGGTGCAATATCCATTTTGTCCACGGGGTGGCAGCCTTCTCCACGTTTCCCGGCAGGTTCAGGGCGAGTACTACGGAGAGCAGGAGGCCCGCCTGGGCCACTTCCCCAGCAGTGCGGTGGAGGAGACGCACGTTCTGATGCCCGCAAGCGTGGAGGTCAACACAGACGTGAGTCCACTTGAACCGGACGCACTGTCCACCACCACACTCGTCCAGGCACACTGCATGACTGACTGGGTCTGGGGATTCAGCCCGTGGTGGGTTTTGGGGTGCAGACCGGAGGTGGGGTAAGCGCTAGTTCAGCACTCGGGGTCCACTCTGAGGTACGCAGCGCTGGGAGCTGAGCTGGCGGGGACGACGAGCGCCACACACACTCCGCCGTCTTCTGAGGAGAAGCGTCTCTGAAGAAGCCAGGGCCTGTTACTGCTCCCCTCTGACTGTCCTGTTCCTCTCCCCTCTCTAGAAGTGGGACTTCTACTGCCACTGAGGCTGCGGTCCGGCCCAGCCTGTGGTCACCCGAGCGCTGGGGGAGAGGAACTTGCCTGGCGGTGTCTGTCTAACCCGGAAGGCTCCGCCTTTCGTTTGCTGCCGGGGCTGTGGTCAGCACCGCCGCTGGCCTCCAGTCTGTGTTTCGTTATGCTTAATTATTCCAGCCCTACAGGAAGTCTTGACCAAAGCCTTAAACCTGACGGCAGCCCTGTGCCTCATCCTAAAACTATATTTTAATGTACCCCATTACTTCTGAGTGAGTATACTGTATAGCATTTCATTATTCCAGCTTTAACCCTATGTAAGAAGTGCAAAAGCACAGACAGAAATCATCTCTAATACCATACAGTACAATAGGGTATTGTATTATACCGCACTAGTATACCATGTATTTTAGAATAGAAAACAGTATATTTGATACAGTATGTTGTGTATTTGATCTTATGTTGGTCAAGCGTGGCGACAGCAGGCCAGTGGATAATATCAAATAAACTCCGACGTTTGCAATACTGCGCTTCGTTCTCTGTTTCATCACTCAGACGGGTTGTTTTGCTCTGGGAAACAGCAGCAGAAGCCGACAGCGGCTGCAGTAGATGCGGGTTTCAGAAAAAAAAAAATCATTTTTGTCTGCGTGCTGTTCAAATCGGGCAAGTCACTACATCCGCTCCTTATCCGAAACAGCCCTGGGCTGCCCTTTTTGCTTCTTGCAAAAATCTGGGGGTTGGTTGAACGATGAGATAATAAATACATCTAAACTGCAGCCTCATCTTAATAAATACTTCCGATTCATCCAGAAAAGCACTTCTTGAGAAAGGTGAACGATTCGACACGGTCGCGCTGCAGGGTGAAACCGCAGCCGCGCGCCCCGGTGTCCATGGAGACGGGCCGCAACAGGAGCGCGTCTCCCCGCTGAGGAAGAGGATCCCGCTGAGGAAGAGCGCTTGAGCCGCGCCGGGAGCACTTACACCGGTAAGTCTGTAGGGTAGCGACTTCACGTTCAGGCAATGAATGAAAGCGTGGCTGTGCGGCCCTGTCATAACCGCCGGTCATGGTGCATTAACCGCTCGGGGCTAGCGCCGTGGTCAGCTGGGGAAATAATTAGAGCTGTCGGCTTTTCTCACTGGGAATGGGAGTCACCTATGCTGAAGTGCCCCGTCGGTAACAAAATACGATGCAAAAAGTCCCACTACACTAACGAAATCCGGGGGAGATCAGACTTGCTCCTCGTCGTCACGGTCCGGCAGTAACGCTGGCGCTGCTGCAGGGTTTCCAGTGTGCTCGTCAGCTGCAAAACTGGACAGAATCGCCTCGCTTCTGAAAACAGGAAAATCAGACAAATTCAGAGGCAAACTCGCGGTGACGCTGCGTGGGACTAATTCAGAAGTTGCGGGAGACCCAGTCGCGATCTCCGTGATAGCAGCTCATACGGAAGTACGATTGATCTATTATTTAGTCATGCATAATGTCGATATATTATTAAGTATTTATGACGGTTATAGTTGTTGTCGGTTATCGTAGCCTGAGGTTAGTAACCGTTGTTTGTCCTCGGAGCCGGATCGGCCTTTTTCCCAGGCGAGTGAGCAGGTTGACTGCCGGCCGGCACCGTCTCGCCACACTGCTCGTTAAAGTTCATTGACGTGTGCTTCTGGGAAGTTATCGCAGTGACTTATTTAATTCATCGAATTTGCCCAGTAAAGACTATGGAAGCCCGTTTCCGCCAGAGAGTAAAAATAACGCGCTATGGTAAATCAGAATTGCGACTTAGTAACTCAGAACCGCGACTTAGAAACTCAGAATTGCGACTTTATATCTCAGAATTACGACTTTATATCTCACATTTGCGACTTCGAAATATTTCATTGTCTGTCCTTTCGTTATTGTACCGGATTCGGGTTCCAGGGCTTGTGCCCTCGCCGCTCCACCCTACTTCCTCACTGCATGGGCTTGTATTATGTACCCCTGCCGATGTTATTGATCTTGTCGGTATTGTATTTCCTTATTTGTTGCTCAAATCAAGAGTTTAAAAAAAAGCAATGCCCTGTTTATTGCGGGTGATTTCTGTGTCTCCTCCCGAGGGCTGCGGGATGTCGTCGCCATGGCAGCAGCCCGACGCCACGTTCCGGCAGTATGGCTGGCGCCGCGGCACGGGCGAGGACGCCTACTCCCCCGCCACCCTGGTGGGCAACTGGGCCGAGGAGCGCCGGGACACCCGCGCCCTGGCCCGCCGCCGGCCCCTGCCCTCCCAGGTGGGCCAAGTCTCGTCTTACCCCCAGGGTGTGTGGCCGTGGGGGCAGGGGGCGGCACCTGGATAGTTTCTGAAAAATGTTGCTTTTTAAACACCCGTACAAACCATTTCATTACAGTTCTTTGTTGTGTAAAAAGAAAAAAGATGTAAAAAGAGAGCTATACCAGGCATGCAGTGTTCTGGACCTGAATACTATTGGCTCAACCCTGTGATTTACCGTCAGCCCTCCAGGCCAAATTGAGAATTGTGCTTCCAGAAGGAAGAAAGCTCTGAGATGAGCAACCTTGTGACTGACCACTGAAAATATCCACTCCTACTGTGGCGAAAGCGTTCTTTTCAGGACTGTCACAGTGCAGCCCAGACGTCCCCGTGCTCCTCACAGCACAAGGCCCACCCCCCTCCATTCCTGGCACTCAACACACACGCCACAGGAGTTTCTCGGGGGTACCCAGCTCCCCCCCGGTTCTCAGGCTGAGCCACATCTCCTCTCTTTTGGCAGTTCGCTCACTATTTTGAGACGACGTATTCGTCCACGTATGACCGAGGCCGACAGCCCCCCCCGCGTGATCCTGGTAAGTTCCTGCTCCCTTCTCTTCAGCACCTGAGACCCCTGCCTGTAACGACCCCCTCTGCTTGCGCCCCGGAATCTCGTCTCGGCAGCTGAGGCTGATCAGGTCATGGCTGCCTGCTGCGAGACTCAGGCTCTTGGGGAAACAGGTGCTGTAGAATGTCTTTGGGGGAATTGCAGAGCCTCCAGAGATCCCCAGGGTGGGCTACGCCATAAGTGTATAGAGTTTCCTGTAGAAATTCAGTAGAATAGAGGTGTGTCCACCTATCCACTATCAGAAAACTCCCAGCATGGGTCACAGAGTGTTCATGAAGCAAGGGCACAAGGCAGGGCTGCAGCCTGGGAAGGGGCACCTGTCCTTCTCAGGTCACTCACACACACATTAAACACACACACATACAGAGTCACACATATAGACACGTACACACACGCAGACAGATACAGAGTCACACACACACAGAAACACAGTCACATACAGATACACTTACACACAGAAGCACACACGCACATGTTCACATCACAAAGACAGATACACAGTCACACAAATAGACACGTACACACATGCAGACACAGACAATCACACACACAGTCAAGTACAAATGCAGACACACACACAGACACGTACACACACACACAGACACACATAGACAAATACAGAGCCACACACACAGATAGATAGACAGTAACACACACAGATATTCTTACATGCAGACACACACACGGGCTCATACACATTCTCAGTCACACACACACACAGACACGTACATGCAGTCACACAGATAGTCACACACACAGACACATATACACACGCAGACATGTACACACAGAATACCCAGTCACACAGACAGTCACCCACACAGACACATACACACGCGCAGTCACACACATAGACACAATTTGGAGGCACTAAGTAATCCAGCTTTAGGGAGAACGTGCAAACTCCACACAGAAGGTGCCCCAGTGCAAAGTTGAACCCAGGACCCACTGTGCTGGTGGGTGCAATTTATGGGGTGTTCATAGTCTTCTGAAAAAGTCAGATGAGCCAACTGATTATTCTAGACAGACAATTAAGAGCTGGACTGACAATCTGAAGACCCTCTGGTGACCTGCCATGCCTGGAGCCACACCGCCTCAAATGCTGACACAGGTCTCTGCTATTGCAGGTACAAAGAGGGAACCCCGCTGCTTCCCGGGACACCAGCCTGAGCTGGATCCCCTGCACACAAAGCCAGCCCCCGACTCCTGCTACCGGCACGACTTCAGAGACCCAGCCCCACACCTGCAGGCGCAGAGAGGGACACAGGCAGGGCAGCAGAGTAATAGCTCACAGAGCTCCACCTGCTGGGGGTAAAGTGTGCAGGCTGAGTACAGTGTACCGTATATCCCGACAAACCGCAGATGTGAAAGTGGGACTAAGAGTGTGATAAAGTGAAGAGAAGCAGTTGTGCAATGTTCTTCATGTGTGCAAGTGGACTTGTGGATGGATGGTGTGGCGAAATGGGACCTTGTGGTATAATCGCAGTGAGGTCCAGTGCAGAACAGGTGTGTGTTGGGGAAACTCTGTAGCCACGCCCCCATGAAGTGTTTTGCTACCACGTGAGTTGTGGATGGGCATAGACTTCCTTTTCGTGTCCTCCAATAAGAAGGGTGTTGTCTGCTGCAATGTGTAGTTTAAAAGGGTTAATATAGGTTTTTCTAGCACAAACATTTTTTAATTCAGGGTTCTACGGTCCTGGTGAATTTCTGCCCTGCAGAGTTCATAAGGAGCTATAAACAGCAGGCAGACACCGTGAGTACAAGTTTACATGTAGTGATTCTGCAAGTAACCGGCCTAAATTAAGATATTGGCAACTCCTCTGGAATTAAAATTAGAACATTCTGTGAGTCTCTTCAGCCCCAGGACTGAAGACTGCTGTCCTGAGGCTGCAATATGGAGAAAACATGGGATTCAAACGCAGACAGCAGAAAAAATAAACAACAAAAGAACGAAAGAGCCACCCATGTGGTTGAAACGATTTATTCTTAAACATTTAAGAAACTCAAGTGTTAATTGAGCTCTGGCTGCTCTATATGGGGTCTCAGGAATGAAAGGTTAGGCAGCGACCACGACAAAATAGAAAATGAATAAGCAGGATCTTTTTAAACACCACTGCCCCCTCCCTGTCCACGAACCTGAACCCGACACAGGAGTGCCCGACCGCTGAGCCGAGCCGAGCCGAGCCGAGCCGAGCCCACTCACCGGCTGCAGGAAAGAGCAGACAGCACAGACACTGCAGAGCTGTCGGACAACAGACTACAACTGAGCCCCTGCAAGGGATAAGTTGTGCACTTCTTTACATCACTGGAAGATATGCTGTTGTTCCCATCTGGTTTCCTTTCTGCTTCTACTTTTCCAGATTTTGTGGGCCCATTCTACAATAAAAGTTTTGATATCATGTTCTTGTCTCATTGGCTGTTTTCTGCCTCAAGTGGCCTTGTTTTAAGTGCCTTCTGTGTCCCAGTCACCAATACACACAGCTGCGACACCTCTGTGTATGCCTTGTGGTTATCACAGAGTGCATCTGGGCCAGTGTCCAAACCAGAGGCCTGGCTTCTACTGGGAAAACACCCACTTCCCTCTTGACCACTGCCATGTGAGCAGCGTCAAAACACACTGAAGGCAGGCGCGTTACACTTACAGCAAAGTGCTTTAATATATACAGGGAGGCATTAAAAATGCATCAAATGAGTTTTGGAATCAATAGTGTTTTGTTGCACTTTAAATGCTTTTCAGTATATACAAAAACAGGAGAATTTTATCAGAGAACCTGTCATTAACTCCTCTGTGAAGTCAGACTACTTATTCAGTCACTCCTTTGGTCTTCTTCAAGTCTGTAAGTAAAAAATTCAGCAAACATTTTCCAGACAACTGCTGTGGTAAACCTAATGCCTCAGCCTTTGAGCTGGGTGGAGCGGGGATTTTCCTGAAGCTGATACCTGCGTTCTTGACTGGGATTTGCCAACACCCCTGCAGTGTAACTGCCCTTCAGGTACAAGGTACCTGACTGTACAAGAACACAGGATCTGGTCCCCACAGCTCCAGCTACAAACTGCTCTGGAGCGCTCCTGTGCTCCGTCACGGGGCTCGCTTCTGCACATAAACCCTGCCCACTTAAGGGCATGGCGTTTCTACACGCACAAGTTCCCTAAAATTGTCCTACTTCCTTGAACTGTTTTTGTGTCTTTGAGGCACGATCAGTAGCTGACTTCACAGAGGCTCGTCTGTCACTCTGTGGACCTTTTCCCCCTTCCTCAAGGGACTGACTGGTCCAGCTGCACCAGGGCCCTGCACTCAGTGTGCCTTTGTCTGCTCCTTCCCTTGCTCATTCAGCTGTTCTGCAGCATGTTTGATTTTACTCAGCAAGCTAGGAGGACAGAGGCCCTGATGTAGCAGCGAATTCCATGAGCCCACCCTTTCTGAGTAATGGAGGATGAGTGGGGTCCTATCCCCTGCCTGTAAGTGCGGGGGGGGCTCTCTTCACTTCCCGTGGCTCAGCGTGTGCCGGGGTCGAGGAAGACGGGGCGGTGGTGGTGGGGTGGCAGTGGCGAGGAGCCAGGGAGGGCGAAGGGGCGGGGGAGAAGGAAGTCTACTTCTTCTGCGGCGCAGCCCCAGCGGGCTTGTCGTCGCGGGTGATGGGGATGGTGCGCTCGGCCACTTCGGACAGGTTGCGCGTGGCGCTGATCGTCAGCACGCCATCGGCGGACAGCGAGGAGGTGATGGAGCCCGGCTCGACCCCTCCTGGGATCCTGTACTTCCTGTGGAACTCCCGAGACACATAGCCGTGCTCATCCTGCCGAAGGGAAAGACACAAGGCACGCTGGAGGGCAGGCTGGACCCCGGGAGACTGCAGGAGGGGAGCAGAGAAAGAGAGAGTGGAGAGGGGAGGGCCAGGGAGACAGGGCAGGAGCCGGGAGGAGGCAGGAGAAAAGGGGGATGGAGAGGCAGGGAGGGAGGGTGTTCCCCTACCTGGCGGTCCTCGTGCTTCCCACGGATCTCGATGAAGTCGCCGTTGACCTTGACGGACAGCTCCTCGGGGGAGAAGTGCTTGACGTCCAGGTGGATTGCGAACCTGTCCTTGTCCAGACGCATCTGCCGGCCAGGAGGAGGCAGGGTCAGCACACAAAAACACACCTGTGCAGCCTGGGCTGCTCACATGCACACAGGTCAGCATCCCCGTCACAGGGCAGGGCATTGAGCCATCAGGTGTGCCTCATTATTAAACAGAAGGATTCATACAGGTATCTGTTTCTTTCTCTTAGAGCCACAAGCTGACAAAGCGCCTCTTAAGTGTGACCAATTCCAGCTTTAGCAGGTTAATTCCAAGAGGTATTTTAGGGCTGGTTTTCTAGGCGGCTGAAGGTTACAGAGGAGCGCTCTGTAGTCTGAAAGAGCAGCTCTGACCCTGGGAGTCAGCTGAGTGGGGGAGTGGGCAGTTTGCACTGCGCTCTGGGATTCCTCCCATGGGTTACATTGTGACACCTCGCAGTGAACACAGAGGGCATGGTGCTGGGCTGAGCTGGCTGCAGGCAGCGGGCCACAGCCGGGAAGCAATTCTAAACATTCAGAGGCCAACATGTGCACGCGCCCGCCGACGGACTAAAAGGAACAGCTCACATCATCTGTGCTGTACTGGTTTCATGTCCGAGCTGTTGGAGTCACTTTCTTTGTCGAGTGAGTGTTTCATCAAACAACAGGGTTTTTTGTCTTAAACTAACAGGGCTCAGGTATTTGAGCTGGTGATCGTTTTATGAGGAATAAAGTTTTAACATGCTACCAAGAAAATGTTGCCACAGTAGGGAGGGACTCGCGTGACACAGAGGGAACCTCATCACGGGATCCCCAGGAATCGGAGCAGGTCAGGACACTGAGCCCCAGGACTCATGTGTGAGAGAGCCAGAGACACCCCACCGTTTCCTCCCTGACTTCAGTGCCCACGTCAACGCCAGCACCCAGCCCCCCACAGCAGAGCAGCAGCTCCTGTTTCACTGCGCTTGATCCCGGTGCTGGTGACGCTGTGGATACGACGTCTCAAAATCTGCTGCGCTCTTCCCTGCTGTCACATTCCTGGCCATCCTGCTCTCACAGACAAAAACACCCCCTTCCAAGCCTTTTCTCTCCCACCTCAAGGATTTCAAGCCTTGGTCTCCATATCCCACAAGCCCTTGGTCTCAATATGTCATACGTGCAATGGTTTAGTTTAGTAAACACTTAGCAAAATATTAAGGTTTTCACAGCTAGTTTTGAAAACATTCCTCTGTAGGAAAGAAGCTATAGGTCCTGCAGCAAACCTGTGAAAAGTCAGAGATTGTCTCTTTTGTCTTCTGGAGAATTCTGGAGCTTTGGCTCTGGAAGGTTAGTCGACGGTCAACCCGCAACAGGCCCTCACCTCTGACAGGCCGCCGTCCATCCAGCTGGCACCGCGGAAGGAGGCCCGGGGCCAGTACATCAGGGGGAAGGGGGCGAGCAGCTCGCTCTCTGGGATGTGCTCCCCGAAGTTCTGCTCAAAGATCCGGACGGGGAACAACGAGGAGAAGAGGGGGCGGCGAAACCAGGGGCGCTGGATGGCGATGTCCATGCTGGCTGGGCTGGGCGCACTCTGTGCCTGCTGCTGCCGTGCCGCTCCTGCTGTGCCTCTGGCCCTCAGCTCACTTATATAGCCGCCCCACCAGCCTGTGCCAGCCTGCCACCCTCCTCTTGAACTTTCTGGAACGGTGATGTAAACCGTCTCCCCCGCTCGCCCTCTCCCCCTGCAAGTGCCAGTCCGTGTGTGTTTACGTTATTACTGGCGGTCTGATTTCATTCAGGCAAGCGGCCCTGCGATTGTTCTGGGGGATTTTAAATAGTGCTGATGCCCCCGTGCGCGCAGCGCTGGAAAGTATCCTTTTGTGCTGGTGCGCGGTTTTCTGTGTGTGCCTGCACGGCCAGCGCCAGGACCCGGCTCGTCTGTCAGACGGGTTTCGGTTTTTGGCGCGCACTCCTCGGACTTGGCCTCTCTTCCTCCGGCTGCCCCGCGTGCCGGCGGGATTATTTCCGCCGCGCTCCGGTGCCCCTCTCCCCCGCCTGCCCTGACTCCTGTTTGTCCAGGGAGGCTCCAGGCTGGATCAAAGGCTCTGGTGGGTGTGTTTGCCCAGGCGCAGGCAGGGCACCCTGTGTGCAGAGTCAAGCCCCGGGATAAACCACCCCTGGCAGCCCAGCGCAGGCTGCCTCTGCTCCGGGACACAGCACCAGCCTTTGCAGGTCCTTCATTCATTTATTTAGTCAGCTTCTCCACTCAAGATGTCCTTTATGTGTGCAGGTATTAAACTCTCTATCAAAGCTGTTCTTCACAGTATGGTGATGAGTGCTTTTCACAGCTACCTCTCATACTTGAGAAATTCTACAACAGCAAATTTGCGAGACATTTCTGATCTTCCCTATAGAGTACGTGCCTGTGGATATGCTTTGATAAGCACCACCTAATGCTGCACAGTAGCTGTACTGTACTTCACTACTCTGTACTGTCACCACAGTCAACCACAATGCACTTTTATTAGGGCATCAATGGAGGGTAAGAGGATCTACTAGCGGGTGGCACTGTGGCCTCACAGATCTCGAGTCTTGGGTTTGTGTCCAACTTTAGGGAATCAGTCTGTGTGGAGTCTGCATGCCCCCCCGTGCTTGAGCTTGATTGGCTACTTTAAATTGTTTCGTCCCTGGTTCCCATGAAGAAGGGAACTAAGCACCTCTATTCCATTCTGAACCCCCTGCTCAGATTTTGGACAATATTTCGGCCAATACTTATGTTAACACCTCTCTGGATGTGTAGACAGGACAGTAGGCCACTTCAGCCCGCAACAGCTGCTAACAGCAGTAGCAGCCATCAGCAGAGCAGCAATAACAACACTGTAGAGCTCTGTGGAGTTCTGGAGACCTGCAGGGGCCTGTTAACGGATCACCAAACACTCAGCTCCCAGAATGCTGGACTGTTAGCATCCCCTGGTGTGTCAGTCAGAGCCACAATCACTGTAAGAGCCCCGCCACATTATTCTAGGAAAGGCAAACAGAATTCCAAATGAACAAAAAAGCACTCGGGACTTCCTTCACCTGGGACCTGCTGTAGTCAAGAGAATTATCATCCAACCATGAAAGAAGTGGGATTTGACCTGATCATTGTCGCTATTGTTAACGTGCCTACATCTGGTGACATCATTTAGTCTAAGTCTGGCACCCCTGCACTTCTAAGGCCTTCTCCTTCAGAAGATACGAGCTGCTGTGATACTGTACACATTCACTAGCCTCCTAGAGCTTCCTGGACCTGACAGAGCTCTTGCCTAGACCCCTGGACACCCTGTAGTGCCCAAAATAAGTACACTCCATCACCAGGAGGGGCCCCAGCACTGACATCACACTTGATATGTACAGTATCCACAGAAGACAGGAGTGCAGCCCTGGGCAGGTCAATACTCACAACAGCTATGATACACATAAAGAAGTATTGCACAGTTCATATCATACGCATATGAGAAAGACACAGCTTTCACTTTGAACTTTTCATGTAAATGAATCACGCAGAGGCAAACTGCTGCTGTCGTGACTTTGCTCCGCTGTGCACAAAAGGCATAGCCCCCCCGCCCTCACCCAGAGAAACATCAGAAGAGCAGCCTGTTAATCAGCCGCACGACTTCCCCCCTGCCCCAGGGCGATGCCAGACTTGGCAAGGCCTGGGGCAGAGCTCAATAGCCGTCTTGTAAACAGGGCAGAGACAGGCGGTGTCGGCTGGAGACAGGCTGGAGTTCGGTGTCCTCTTGGACGTCCGCGGCAGTGTGGGGCTCCACCCGCGGACCCCGCAGGGTCAGCTAGGTGATATATAATATCCTCTGAGAGCTGTGGGCTTATTCTTAGGTCCAGGAATGGGGGGAGATGTATTTCCTTACACTTTCTCTACCGGGAGGGCTCAGCTTTTCATTCCACTCGCAACCTTGTCGTTCGAAGGGCCGTATTCAGCAGAGTGCTGACAGTACCAGGCTGGTAACATCATCACAGTTCCCACAGCTCCACACAAAGCCAGGTCCCACTGTGGCCCGCAGTGCTTCTCCCAGTCGTGACGTACTGCAGTAAGTGCAAAATTATTCCACGCATTTCTAATCCTTCAAATAAATCGTCCCAGGCTGCTCTTGGTGAGATGTAATATCCCGTCTCGGAATCGCAGACAAGAGCCCTGCCAGCCGGTCTGTCCAGGCAGGACTGGCCTGTCCCTGTGGGCCATTTTAAACTGATCCATCAGAGATCCCAGTGGCGTATTTGTCTCTGGATTTATTTGTAGTTATGATGTCTCCTTTGGAGTGTCTGTGACCGGGCTATTTCTGGCCTCTTTATCAGCCCCATGCAAACACAGGCACACAGTCACTCTCTCTCTCCCCGACTCTCTCTGCAGACCCTGCCAGTCGTTTCCGCGAGGAACTGAGCCGCCGTGCCCTCGCAGCTCGCCGGGATGTCGGAGCGCACCGTTCCTCACGCGTACCCCATGAGTGTGGAGTACGAGATGGCGTCTCCCTGCCGCATCTACGACCAGAACTTCGGGGAAGGTAAGGCCTCCCGCTGTGCTGGGCTCGTGATCGTGCGTCGGGTCGGCGCGTGTGCGGTGGAACCATGGAACTGCACAAGTCAACAGCGCCCTGTCCTGGTGGAACTGGACGCTTTTCTTCAGAGTGAAAGAAGGAACACGATACCCCAGCAGTGCAGGACCCCTCACATGGGACGGCTGACAGAGGGGCTTCACAACAGCTGGGCACACAGAGGGGCTTCAAAACCTTTTCTGTTCCTGCACAAAACTTAAATCTCCATCCATTCTGAGCAAAAACAAATTCACCAAGAACCGACCCACAAGAAGAAGGAACACAAACGACCTGATCTAGCGCGCTGGTCTGTGGTCACTGGGCTCTGGGTTCAAATCTGCAGTCGCTGATGGTCTGGGTTCAAGTCCACAAAGTGCGGAAGCAGGGCAGTGCGGTGGCTCTGTGGCTGAGGAGCTGTGCCTGTGGCTGGAAGGTTGCTGGTTCGAATCCTGTGACCAGTGGAGGAATCCTACTCCGTTGGGCCCCCGAGCAAGGCCCTTTACCCCAACTGCTCCAGGGGTGCTGTATTAATGGTTGACCCTGTGCTCTGACCCCAAGCTTCTCTCCCTGTCTGTGTGTGTCATGGAGAGCAAGCTGGAGTATGTGAAAAGACAAATTCCTAATACAAAAAACTGTATAGGGTGAAAAAAGTGATCTTATCTTAAACATTTTACTAAATGACTGTAGCTTGTATGAGGCTATTAAATTGGATTAGATTCTTGCCAAAAGCTTAAAAAGCTCTTAAAACTGTACCAGGGTATTGAAGGCCTGTATGTGGGCATGATAGATAACTGGACATTATTTGAAAGTTGCATGTGATGAGGTAAGGATGCAGGCAGGCAGGCTCACGGGCTCCGAGTCTCAGTCGGATTGCCCCTTGGAGCTGGCGAGGTGCTGACGTGAGAGGGAAGTGACAGATCGACCCGCCCCTGACCTCCCCTGCTGTCGGGGGCCCAGGCAGAGCTGTCACGGACATCGCCCTCCCATGAGCCGCACCAGCCTCGTTCCTCAAGAGGCCGAAGAGGCATGTGTGCAGAGCACCCCCTGGTGGTAGAAGCTGTGAACTTCGGCTTGTCTCTCGCCTAACTTCCTTTAGACTCTTGGAGAGAGTTTCCCTTTGTTTTGGCCTCCTGCTCTGTGGCAGCGGAGCATGAAGGAGTAAAAGGCTGAGAGGGAAATAAAAACAGACGTCTGGCGGCGGAGGGGAATTCCCCGGCCCAGCCCGAAAATAAACTGCCCTCCTACAACCCTGGAGGTCTTGGGAACAGAGCAGCCAGCCTGGCAGCACATTGACACCCCTATCAAAAGACACGCAGGGCTGCCTTTGTTCAGCCTGTCTCTCGCCGGCGAATCCAGACTCCAGAGGAGGAGTAGAAGCTGAGGGATCGCGCTGGTCACCCCAGGGTCAGCCGGATTGAAACCCTAGCTTGACAGGGGCCTCACCTGCTCCCCGCGACCAACCCATCCCCCCAAAGACAGGGGCTTGCATCTGCCCCAGTGTGGGTCTCAGGTTCCGAACCTGTCCTCTGCGGGGGACGAGGAAGTCTCGTCGTGCCAAAGGGAATGGAATTTGTGAGAAATGTATTGACTGTATTAAAATAACATATTAAAATCAATACATTAAGTGCACACCATGACTTTCCTTTGTAATGGCTCTGAAGCAGGCCTGCAAAATAGCATCAGAGCCTTTGTGCTTGGTAGGTGGTTTACTCTGGTAAAAGAGACATGTCCCTGACCAGTGTCGTCTGTGAACGTTTAGAAAAAGGATCTGCTACAAGCGAAGAGACATTGTACACAGCCTTACAGAGGCACATTGCCAGCGTCCTGACTCTGTTATAATTGCACATACACCATACTCAATTGTAAATCCTTTATTACGAGAAGGATTTTTTCTTGTTTATTGCCAACAAACAGTGTACAACATGGCAGCAGCTATGTCACCCTGCAGCTCCCAGCTCCCAGGTTGAGCCTGGCCTGCCGAAGCTGCTCTCTCTCGCCCCCAGGCCTGTCGCCTCAGGACGTCCTGGCCCCCACCCTGTACCACGGCTACTACATCCGCCCGCGGCTCAACAAGCAGCTGGAGCGGGGCTTCTCGCAGGTGGACAGCGGCGACGACTGGTTCCGCGTGCTGCTGGACGTGTGCCAGTTCACGCCGGACGAGATCGCGGTCCGCACCGTGGACAACCTGCTGGAGGTGAGCGGTCAACACGCCCAGCGGCTGGACCAGCACGGCTTCGTCAGCCGCCAGTTCAGCCGCACCTACATCCTGCCGCTGGGCGTCGACCCGCTCCTGGTGCAGGTCACCCTCTCCCACGACGGCGTCCTGTGCGCCGAGGCGCCCCGGAAGGCTGCGGATGTCAAGCCCACCGTCCGCGAGCTCCAAGTCCGAGTGGAGGGCGGGGAGAAGCAGCACAAGGAGGCGGGGAAGAGCACGTGAACCCCTCCCACACTGGCAGGGCTGGGGCGGGGCTGGGTGTGGTTGGGGAGGGGCTAGGCGAGGCTGGGTGTGGCTGGGGCGGGGCTGGGTGTGGTTGGGGAGGGGCAGGTGTGGTTGGGGCAGGGCTATGCGAGGCTGGGTGTGGTTGGGGAGGGGCTGGGTGTGGTTGGGGAGGGGCTAGGTGAGGCTGGGTGTGGCTGGGGCGGGGTTGGGGTGTGGTAGGGCGGGGCAGGTGTGGTTGGGGCAGGGCTATGCGAGGCTGGGTGTGGCTGGGGCAGGGCTGGAGAACCTGCAGTCCTGCTGGAGGCCTGGGGTGTTGGCAAGCCTGCTGATATTTCTAGGATGTCTAATCACTCAAGCTGTGCATCATGTTCTTTGAAAGGAGGCGTGTGTTTTATTTCCTGATGAGCAGACTCCAGTGTGGGTGTGTAATAGCCCTCAAGGCTGTGTTGTGTCCTGGAAAGGAAAGCATGCCTGAGAAGTTGGCAGCGGATGTTGTATTATTGCATTACATTAATAAATCTATTATTCTTACAAAATGACAACAGGAAACTCTTATTTGTCAATAGGAAGAACCACTTGTTATGCATGAATGTGTTTGACTAGTTAATAGGGTAATCTTTATAGTACCCTTCACCAGTTAAAGACATGTATTTCCCTCCATCAAAAAATAAACTCAGCTGTGAAGTGGAAATCATGACTGGGCAGCTGCTGAAAAAAGCCTCTCATCTCCTGGTCTGAATCACTATCCACTGATCAGACCAGACTCACTGCCCACTGATCAGACCAGA